TAATACTTGTTGAAGTAAAGAAAACTGTAATGAGTCAATTAGATCTATGAGCGATCACTTAATAACTTACTTGACACTTGAACGGCCCGTTCTCACTGGTTGCGCGGAGCCCAGCACAATCTCCACTCCTTAGAGATTTGCTGGTTAAGCCACTGTGGTTCCCAGGAATCCTGAGGTCAGCCTGGTCAGTCTGCCCAAGGTCTTCATCACCACAGGCAGTCGCAGCAGAGTTGCCGCTGCCCTTGTGGATCAGAGGAAGGTTTGCCACCGTGCGACTAATTTGATATCAGGACGGTGGTGGATCCTGGTGTTGGTTTACTCTTAGCTAGAAACGCTGGACTCCTCAGCTTAGGTGATCCTGCCAAGAGGATGAATTCTCCACTGTACATCGCAGCCCACATCCAGGAACACCTCCTAACCACGACGAGGCGGTAAACCGTTGGGAAGTACTTAATGACTTCATTTAAAAATTATCATTTATCGTAATATATACAGAATATATAGTAGATATCAGAAAAGCGAAAGTAATTTGTTTAATGAACATGCTCATAGGCGGATATCAACGATGGTAGTGGCATTGACAGACACGGTGTCGAACGCGATAGAGGTGATGCTGGTTGTTGTACTGATTGATCGAAACCTCTTTTTTCGGTGTTGGAAGTTTGTTTGTGGGTATATTAGCATTGCCTATTGCATAATCATCTCCGAACGAGCGATTCAATCCAAAATGTTCGCTGAAATGTCGAATGATACAACAGAAGTGCAACATGTAGCTCTTGAACTTTTCATCTTTTAGCCTAACAAATGGTCATGTCGGGTGACTCGGGGCAACCGATGCGCTCTTCATAGATGTTTGGAGTCACGATTATATTTTATTTCATCATACTATGTTTCTGGAAACGACTTTATTTCGGTGAAAGTATGGATTAATACAGTCATATACGGGTTTGGAGAAGATGCACACCAATATGTTGTCAATCTAATTAACCGGAAACACTGTGTTGTCATTCGTAAACAGGTACCGTAGTAAAAGAAAGGCCACAAGGTGTAATAATCAAAATCGGTGCTGTTTCATTGACAATGTAAAACGAAGTCATAAAAATTTCACCCGGGTAGGTTTTCGACATCTTCGCCTTCTTCAGAGAACCACCAAAACGAAGTAGCGTCACTCAGCAGTGTCATTTTATACGTGACGGTTCTTACCTGATTGTCGACTGGTGATAAATTGTTTCTACGAAGACAATATAGCGATAGTTATTAAACCGGTTGGTGAACGTTAAAGTAATCTTGCTAAAAATCTACTTTCCATTTGACTTCTGCACAACTAATTACTTAATACCTTCTTGGATTATTTAACTAATACCAGATTGGTAAAAGTTTAACAGTATGGAAGCAAACCATCGAATCATATTGGATAGTAGCAGGTCAGTAACTGTGCTCCATAAAAGGGTACTGCCAAGTGAGGACATTTCATTAGAGCAGTGCCCTATTCCATCGGATTCGACTCGATACGACAATGAAGATCCACATGGTAAAGACAACCACTTGTGGACTCTCGATTCGGATCAATATGGCTATGAAGAAGGCAAAAACGTCGAAACCTTAGCTTTATAAAAACTTTTGCCAACCCCGAGTTAGCTTGATAATCCAGGCAGATACTGAAGTAACGCTTTCGTAGACTGAGCTTAATTTGACCCTCGCATGATTAATAAGCCGGTGCACTATGTCATCGGTAAGGTAGCAAGAGTTTGCTACAAAGTAATAGTGCTAGGTTGGCGTTAGATGCATCTTTAAACTTTAACGACAAACATGCCAGTGATGTGACCATTGTGTTCCGCCACACAATTCCTCAACCAACTCACAGCTTACATTTTCGGAACATCCTCTCACGCTTGAACTTTCGGAGCATTTGAAGTTCGGCTACGTTCTAAGCGATGCCCCAAACAGCCGCCTATTTGAAATTCAAAATGAGTTCGGTACACCAAGAGATTATGATCGGAGTGAAGTGAAATTTCGGTTTTCGCAGGAAATTCGATGATAAACACTGCTGCATTGGAACGGATTTATAAAATTTACGACGTATGATTATACATTTTATAAATATAACGTAGACATCTTTCATTTACCGTCTATTACTTTTTATGGCAGGATATGTGAAATATAACCACAACAATGCTGAGATATTTGCAAAACTCCGGACAGCAGGTGTCTGCAGTGGTGAACACGTCAGGCCCGGAAAGGGTAACGGTTCCAGCAATCGCAACCTATAAGCTGACGCAGTAGAAAAAAAGGTGAGAATTGTGATTACTTAATACTTGAACGGCCCGTCCTCACTAGTTGTGCGGGCCGCGGTCCTCAGCATAATCACCATTTTTCGGAGATTTTCTAGCTAAGCCATTGTGGTTCTCTGGAATCCCGAGGTCAGCCTGGCCAGAGTCTGCTCCAGCTCTTCACCACCACAGGTAGTCGTAGTCCTTGTGGACCAGAGAGAGATTTACCACCATGTGACTTTCATACCAGGACGGTGGTGAATCCTGGTATTACTTTACTCTTAGCTAGGTTTCCTGATGGAAACGCCGGAGTCCTTCTCAGCTTGGGAGGACCTGCCAAGGGAATGAATCCCTCCGCTGTACATCCTGCAGCCCGACACCTGGGAACACCTCCTAGCCACGATGAGGCGGTAAACCGTTGGGAGGATTGTGTTTAAGCCACATTTTTCACTATCCTCTTCATTTTTTTCGAACTTTCGACCACTATTCCATGAAGTTTCCACGAAAAAGCAACCATGTATCTTAAGAATTTCTTCGATAAGATAAGGTGTGTTCGACACCACAAAGTACGGCCAATCAAATCATTCTGGATAAGGATAAGAAATTCTATGAATGTGAACAGTGGAATTGTTCAACACGATTCCAATTGATCGTTTCTCCTAGAGTTGAGAAAACGATTGGAAAACGTCATTTTAGTCGAAATTGGGAGACGTTCCGTGCAATTGCGTTGAAAAACGTGTGCAACCTTATCAACTAGGCGTCATTCATAACCCACTTGTAATGATCATCAAAAAAAAATCCTATCGTTCCAAATTCATGGATTTTCGAATTTCGATAATCATCTCTTCTCCATTATGTATCATTTATATCTCATATAATTCCATGAATTTTCGTCTTGTCTAACCGAATTGTAATAGAAGTTCTATTTCTTGTAAACTTTACAAGCTAGGAATTGAGACAAGGGACGGGTAGCACACCGACAGCGATGGTGACCAACGCTAGCGCGGTGTTGGCTCGATTCCCCTCCGGGCTCATGAAGTCTCTCATCCCACCGGGGTCGGGCAATTGATACCAGACCTGTCTGGGAAAAATCCGCTCTCTGCAAGCCAAGCGGGAATGCCTTAGCCCGGCTATTCCAGGACTTCAGGAAGCATCGACTCGACCAAAATTCAACGGCATTCATTATGAAAGGAAAATCCTCAAGTAGCAGAAGTAGCAGCGGAAACCGCACGTAGAATGTTGCATGACCTTTATGGATAATGGATGCGAAGAAATTACTTGAATGCGAGAAGTGCTGGGATCCGTGCAGTAGATGTCAAAGATGCGTCATATAAAAAACGAATTGATATGTCGAGACAACAATTTCGACAAATTTAGTCCTACTAATTCAAATTCGGACGTGTGCAGTGCAAAGTCCTAGAAATATTAACGAGATATGGGCCAGATAATTGTTCACAAATGCGCAATGCGACATTGGTTTGGGAAATTCTGTCATGACGAATTCGAACATGGAGAATGGCCACAGACGTCCTTCTGCTATTCAAGAGAAGGAAGAATTGAAGCCTTCCCTGTAAGTTAATATACAACAACTGTTCGAGAACTTGTAAAGAAATTCGATGCAAATGTAAACATTTCAACAGTTTCGGAGCATTTAAGAAGATTGGGATGTGAGGAAAGCTCTACAAATAGGTACTGCACGAATTGAATGACAATCAAAGAAGTCGTCGTTTTCGGGTATTGTTGATGCTCCTTCTGGTCCAACAAGAACTACGCGTTCCTAGACCATATTGTAATGTGCGACGAAAAATGGATCCTCTAAGACAACTGGCGCCGATGAACTCAATGGCTGGACAGCGATTAAGCTCCGCAGCAGTTTGAAAAGCAGAATCCGTAGGAAAAGATCATGCTGAGCGTTTGGTGGTTTGCTGTTGGTAAACCTACCAATTTTTAAAGAACATCTCTTCTACATGCTTTATTGTGTAGGTGAAAAAAGCAATATATAAAAAAAGTTACTACATAATTAAAGTATCTCTATATTAAATCGGTCATCTTGTTTCAGGTCCAAGGCGCTAACCATCGCTAATCGGATCTAATTCTCTCCTTCAACCACTGATTCAGCATTGTATCAGTATCACCACCAATATCACAAAGTTTATTACCTTGCCAGAAAACATTCTCACATTGTTTTAAAAATGACTAAAAAATGAAGTATCAATAAAGAAATATGTATCAACTTCTGAAGCAACTCCGACAATTTCTACAGGAAATTCAAAGTAAGAAAAGAGTTGGACGCTTAGAACAAAAGTGCTAGAAAGTCTTGTGCTACCAATACCATAATAAGTGCGCTGAATCATAGAGATTGCATATGTGAAAGCTAATCAGCCATTTTTAAAAGAATCCGCTTTAAGCACTGGTAACGTAAAAATGCACTCTAAGACACTAATACTAAGATCAGACTGATCAGTTTTAAAACCGATGACATAGAAGATAGAAGTTACAGAGTTGGCCAATTCACTCACATGTTGTGATCACCCAAAACAAATCTACTTCGCTGATATGTGTTTCAGGATGTACGCTATTCTTATAAAGACTTCAACACCACCTAAATTTCCCTAAAAGTGGTTCGGAAACGAAGTCACAACTCATGTGGATACTGTATATCACATAGTTCCGACCATAAAATAAAAAACGTTCAAAAAATAAAAACTTAAAGGAAGAAAAGTGATCACTTCAGATATGAGCACAGTGCTTCTTCAGCCACTCGAATTCTTTAGTCTTATTGGCTTTCTGCAAATATCCCCCAACTATTGAGAGCACTTGGTCATGGTAAGCATTTAGCCACTCAGCCTATAATTTATATCTGGATTACTTAAGTGTGAAACGAGAACGATAAAATTGATATTGCGGACTTCTTTATGTGACAGCAATGACTTGTCAATTATACTTGTTTGGATTGGAACTAGAGTGAGAGCGCGAAATCCCAGAAAATCCGCACCAGACGGCACTTTCGCTTTAACAACCTGTAAAGGAAAAAGTGTGACAAACTTGACTGAACTTCGCAAAATGCTAAATTAAAGGCACTGGAAGATCCTTATAACTACAGGAAAAGAAAGAATCGAAATTTCTATTTCAGCTGGATCTATGCCAGAATTGAAAATTGAAATAAGAACGCCCATTATTTTCAACATCAACAAACGACAACGATTAAAGATAAGTTCTACGACCGACTTTCTCTTAAAAACGTTACTGACTAGCAAGTTGATGCTTTCTCCTTCAACATACACGAAATTGTTGATAAAAAAATTTATCCAATAACGGCTCACGTTTCTGTGGTTTCGCCTTCTTTAGAGCTTAGAACGGTCAAACTGACAGCAATTTACCCAGTCAAACACTTTCGCAACTGCAGCAGAAAAACCCCATGCCTAAATTTCAATCGCAAAAGGAAAAGTTTCTTTTAACTATTCACTATTTTGTAACGTAACTTCTTCCTCATGTAATACTCTATAGGGCAAGTCTCCATCAATAACTGGAAAACTTCTAAAGAATAAAACGACTTAAAAGGCAAAATCGTTGAAGCCGCAGCCATTACTGAATAAATCTTCTTATCACTAAACTTCGTATCTGTGGAAGAAGAAAACATTAACGTAAAGGATAGCGGATCGTTGTTAACCAAAAACCGTTCCTAATGTCGATGTCTTAGCTATTCTTTATTCCTTACCACGATCAGTCTTCATATCATTTCCCCAGTCTATTACAACTGTCACTTTCAGTACCAAGCATTTGGTTTCACGCCTCCACTTGCTGCTAGTCTTCTTAGTTGGCTGTGTTCTGTGTGACACTTGAATTGTTTCACCAATCTATTGCGGAAGCTGCTCTCTTTTTTCGATGTAACTTCTTAGTTATTTATTTATCCTTGCTTGTTGATTCCGTTGCCACCTTGACGCTTAGATTGTTTACATTTCTTGATGTTGTCATTTGGTTACAGTGTTATTATTTTTATAAACGATTTAACTACCAAAGTTTGAGGTTCAATCTATCGCAACGGAAAGAAGTCAGCGTAGCAAATTCGCATGAAGTCGACCATTCTATCTCGAACTGATGATTATTCACTACTGACAGTTTACTCCAACTACTCCATTCCACACGGCTCACCCTACACTTTTTATGAGTAGTCACTGAATGACAATCACTATATTTTTTATGAGTGATGACTAAATTGGAATGTAGAGATTAGAGGTTTGCTTAGGCCAGAAAAACTCACGGATGGGAGCCACTTACTTAGATAGACACGTTCATTTTGGATAGAAATTCTAGCAACAAAAAACCCAGCAGAAACAAAACGCTTAAATGCGGACAAAAGTTTTGAAAAATCTAACTTCATAACAGTTCTCTATCCGAGTTCCCCATTTGTCGACAAGGTAATAGCCAGGTTCAATCGTTAGAACCATGCCTTCACGTATCCAGTAATCCGGACTCGTGTTGACAGCCCTATGGCCAATGCGTACTAGAAAAAAGCACACTCTAGACCAAAAAAGTATAGACGAAATAAAAGCAATAAAACCTCGATTTGATCTCATGTTCGTTAACCAACTAATGCTCCGAACCTGGACCCTCGTGCACGTTGAGGAAATGCCCCACTCCATGACCAGTACCATGTCCAAAATCCAACCCGACTTGCCATAGTGCATGCCGTGTGAGTGTGTCCAAGCGAATACATAAAATCGATTTTCAGTTTAAAATACAGCAAATCATTCACACGCAAATCATTCACACCCAAGAACAAAATTGAAAAAGATCGTAAAAAATTTGAAAGGATACGAAAACTACATTTTCGGTTGGAGATAAACCCCCGGTAGATTAGATCAACGTAAAAAGTATTTGCAGATGGTATCAGGGATTCTTTAGGGATGTGTCATGCACTCGACTCCATTAATTTCTTGCGAAAACTTATTAACTTATCAAATCAGCGTAAGAAAGGGTAAAAGAAATCAGGGGAACACAAAGCAAAGGCCTCGGTTAGTGTGGTGGATAGCATGTGAGCGCCTGAAAGAGTAATCACTAGCTCAAAGATCAGCTGAAGTTTGGCTTATATCTCAGCATCCCTATGGTTGTAATACAGATCGCACCTTGCCAGGAACAGGCTGCAAATAAAAGTTAAAACATTACTAAAACATTACTAAGTTAATGTTTCTTACTCTACTACACAAATTTGCCACCAATTTTCCAAACCCAGATTGATAAGGGATGTAGTCAATCCGAGTCGTAAGATCAAACCAACGACCATGCAAGCAGATTGAAGGGCACTTCTAACCCATGCGTTCAAATTAATTTAAATTATACCATTTATTATGATACTGGACAAGATAAACGCCATTAAGAATACTGTAATGGTTTGCCATTTCTTTATGTTTCGAATCAAATCAAAAAAATTTGAAATCAAATACAACGAACCGGTTGTCGCTTGTGGAAACACGGTATTCGCTAAGGTAATGTGGCCTTTAAGAACGAGAGTATTGCATTGGACGAACTCATTCGGCACAGGAGAATTCTTTTCCAGCCAAATCGTGCGCGTCACGTCGGTCGTTCCGTCTCTGAAGTGAGAAGGCAGCATTGGACTAAATTCTGAACCCTTACATTACACATATTAATGCCAACATCATAAATATAAACCACACCTATAATGCGCTCCAGAATCCAACAAGTATACTTGGTCGGCAGTAACCAAACGTTTGCCTTCTTCACCTTCAGAATGATAATGCGGTTTGGCCGCGTGATCACCAGCAGCTGAGATTGTTGAAAAACTAAAATATTTACGAATGAAACTGAGACGACGAAGAGTTAGGAATAAGCCACTATGATCATGGAGAAACACTGACACTTCTAGAGTACTTCATGTTTATAGAAAAGTTTGTGTCTTAGTTGAAATATTTTGTCCACGGAATCAAAGCTAGCAGTTAGAAAAACGACAGGTGCGAAATTGTTGCGATAATCGAAAAAATAAACAAGACAGTGATTCTTTCTAGATGGGATTAAATTAGGATTTGTACATCAAACCTCAAATCAACGTATTTCTCCGTACCAGCTCTTAATGAGTCAACTTTGTTCGCCACGTCAATCTCTGAATGAGAATGTCCTTCAAGCAACTCTGCCTCTATCCACATTAAGAAGCTTACCAGTGTTGCACTGTCTCGAATCTGTAACCACAAAAATAATACGTGAAACCACACTCTACCATTTTCGGTTATAGTCTGTTCAAGACAAAAGTTTTTTGTATTTATGAGACCACATACGCATGTATGCCTAACGATGTGCTATGGTGCGATTCTCATACAATTAAGTACCAGAAAACAACCACCAGCAATTTATCGCACTCCTAATGAGGCAAGAAATCCATTCAAATATCCATTTAAATAAGCAATTTTATGAAAGCCGATGTTTGTAATACAGTCCACTTACATGACTTTGACGCATACCCTCCAACTCTACATGGTTTTTCACTCCTTTCATAACTTGCACCGGGCTGCCATCAACAACTGAAGAATGGGCGAAAAGGCTGCCGAACAAATAATTCGTAGAAGTAGGCACAAACACCTTAATACAGCACACATAACTGAATTTTTTTGTGACTTGGATGGATAAAAAAATCTACTCTGTGTTGAGCCTTTTCCGCTTCTTGTTTTTGATTCCACTTCGAGATGAAGTTATAAGCTTCCGCATAAGAGTGAGCTATAATATTTTCCTGCTCCAAATAACTCCGCATCTAAAAAAAAACAGCTGAAAAACTCCAAAAAGAGGGATGAGTTGAGAGTGAATTTTCCTGGACCAAATATGACAAGAAAGTGTTAAACGATTACTTGAAGAAAACTTGTCCAAACAGGCAGTTTCGAGGAAGAAATAGAATTAAAAAAGCTTCACTAAACCTCATTGTTAGCTTTATCCATAAATAGATGAACTTCTGAGGCTGTTACCAACAAATATGAATATGCCAAAGGGTTATGTTTGACATCGAAACCACGAATGTTTAATAGCCCTAAAAACTCAACTAGTCTAGTAAGTCTAAATCACTAATATCTCATATTAGTTATATCTCATTTCCGTAGCCTTGAAGCTTTCGTATTCAGTTTTAACTCCAATAGCTCATTAAGGTTTCTTACACATTATATCATCAAGAGCAGTAAGCACAATAGAATTACACTTCTTTTTACTGATTCGTTCACGTAGCTCCTTTAATTTATCCTTTACACATCGGCCATGTTCCCCTGGCAACAGTATTATAGGCTGAAAGAACGAATGGTAGCACGGACAGAAGAACGGGATAGCAAGGCGATACTCCTACTTACGCATTTATCTGGAAGTGCAGGTCGATCACTCCAGAATTCATCAACAAGGTTTTGTCTGATTAATGCGATGTGAAATCCCATGCTCCTCAAGGTCTTGATAAGCTGCTCTCCGCCATCTAAAAAATACAATACTTTGCAATTTAAGAAAGCTAAGGCATTACCTAGCATTTTCACCGTTCATATAGAATGGAATTGGTTCAGTGATACGTATGATTTCTATCCTAAGCTCCTCTAGAGATGTGGGCACAACTTCTTGACAATAAATACAAGGGAACTGCAACATATTTGCATAAGAATATTGTAATAGTGTAGGAAATATTTCCGTAAAACTCCTGCTACAGCCTAAACTGGGTATGAGCAATTCTAATTTCCAAGCTGCTCCTCGTAACTGATAACTTTCCGCTTCCTGTCCTACGAGTGATAGACACTTCACACGGACTGTTGGAATCGGACGACTATCCTCATTCTTCTCTTAAATTTTTTTTGCTCAGTATTTCGTTTTCCTGTACAACTTCTTTATGGTCTACGCATCTTTCTTATTGTAAATTGCGCTCTTCTATGCATTTCCCATAGTTTTTTTTAAAAAAAACTCCATCCCTTGCGCGCTGTCGAAAGGACTCGTCATTCATCCACCAGCTACGGTGCTCTCAGTGTTCTGGGGTTGCTTTCGCAACAATACACTTCATTACTTTTTATAAATAATTTATGTCCATCCATTTCGTACAAAATGACCCATCAAAGCGATTATAAAAGAAGGAACAATCAAGGACACACCAAAAAAGGCTTAAACTACATGAACAGAGGATAAATTTAACTTCATTTTCGATTGACTGTCCATTACGAGTAAACAAGAAAATGAAGACGCCGAGTACAATGATTAATCTCCTGTGTTCTCCGTCGAACAGTCCGAAGGAAGTGAATTGGACGAGGACGAAAGTGATAACGACAATGTGGTCAGCGGTGAACAGCGAATGTACTGCCTCATGACCTTCGAATTTTCAAGTTAAAATTAGTTTAATAAGTTAAAATTGCGAATATAACTATAGTCTCAGCTTAAGTGGGCTCAATACCGATTTTGGCTCCCTAGATCAATCTCGCTGGCGGGTGATTGCCGATGGCAGAGATCGATAGAACTAGCTGAGAGACAGGCGAAATGAAGTACACGCATGGTGTGGTGATGAACGAGTTAGCCTCGGAAAGGGTGATAGCATGTTCGTTCCCCACCGCATACATCTGTGGTCCGGAATTTTGCAAATATCTCAGCATTATACAAGTTATATTTCGCAACATACGCTGCCATTAAAAAGAATAGGCGGTAAATAATAAGTTAAAATTTGAATTTTCAGTTTCGTTCATCTAAGTACTATCAGATTCCCAAGGTTAAAGCATTGCTGGACTAACAGCCAGGCTTGTGGAAAAGGTCCTATTGGTGTCATAGCAGTTCACTCGTCATGCCAAATGTCGGGTATCAAAATCTGCTTGCTCACCTTCATTTCACAAACACTGCGAGCAGAAGGAAAAACCAGATATATTTGAAGTTGTACAAAACCTACACAATTATTCAAGATGTCAGCAGAAACTGCGTTCGAGCGTACAGGTCCAGAAAAAACATGTGTATCGATAACTACCTTGGCCGAGTGCAGCGCAGTGGTTATAGACGCCCTACAATAGCCATAGGGCAGATCCCTGCGCCCAAGGCTCACCAAGCCTTCTATCCATCAAAGATCAGCAAATTGGTATCAGACTTGTCTAGGAGGATAGCAGCACTTACTTAATACATCGGTAGGCCACCATGAGTCATTGCATAGGCCAGATATGCATTCATCGATGCTTAGTGAAAGCAAATGCATAGCTCACTCTTAGAGATTGATCAACACCGAGGGCCTCGCCCTTCATCGTTTTATTGATAAGCTGCTATCACGATGGTTAGAAAATGATCCGTACTTTACCAAATATTGCACATGAGAGGTACTAAATATGAGAAATAAGTAAATAAGTTATGCAAGCTATGCTGTAAAAGCAAATACAAAAACGAAAGTTTGGCTTGCGGGTATGAACATCTCCAAAATTGGAAATATGGTTGAATAGATTGACAGTGATAAAGTTCGTGCACTTGTAAGATAAAGAAAACGCCTGTATAGCTACAAGTGCTACACAAGTATCTCGTAGGCTCAGAAGAACCCAAATGTTTCGTGTGCACAGAGAGAATAAAGCGTTTCCCAAATGTCCTATGTAGCAAAAGTTGAAGAGAACAGAGGCAAATGTGTAACAGAATCCGGCTGTTTTAAAAGGATTCATATAGAAAAACAAGAGACATTATTATGGTATATTTCCACAGAATTTGTAAAACCCGTAATTTGTCTACATCTTCATTAGTCAGGAAAACTAGCAAATGGTATATACGTTTTCCTTATCGAGAATTTAGGTCCACACGACTTTCCTTCGATCTTGTTAATTAAAGATTTTTGTTAAACTGTATGAAGGAAATATTGTGACAACGCGTAGAAAACAGCGAAGGATTAGTTGGAGAAGCACTTCTTCTGAGGTTTATTGTTCGACTCCGCCCACGTTCATTAGGCCTTTCATCCCTCTAGAGTTGGGAAATTGGTACACGACATATATGACGACAGCCCACTATTTCCAATCCAAGTGGGAACGTTCTAGCCCAGGTATCCCAGATCTCTAGGAAAAATTGACTCGACCGACATTCAACAACATTCGCGATCAAAAAAAAAGAAAAAAGAATCCTTGAGCGGCAGCCGAAGTTACATGCGAAAAGTTCGAAGACCTTAGTGGATGATGGATGCGAGGGGACGAATAGAATGAAGGGGTGAGATCTGCACAGGAGACGTGAAGATGGCTCGTGTAAAATGAAAAAAAAGATAGTACCAGGTCCTCCAGTAGTCATTTCCTATAACTCGGTCAAAGAAAGGCAAACATTCTTTATATTCTTGTTGAGCAAACGCGAGGTGTTATTTAACGAATTATTTGATTAATGCCGAGGTTAATAGAAAGTCGGTAGTGGGATTTATTACGAAAGGCAAACATTGTTTTAATTTTAACTTCTATTTCCTGCTTACTCTCTTTTCAAGGTAGTGTATGACGTATAATGCAACCACAATGATGCTGAGATATGAGCAGAACTCGGGACCTCAGGTGGACTTCGAACCTTCGAATCTGAAATTACGCTTTCCCGGAGCTCACGTGTTATCCACCACACCAACCGAGCCTCTTGCTCCTTGTCTTACCTATCTCTTGGCCATGTTTTAACTCTTTTGGTGCTCTCTCAACCTCGTTGTGATTACACTGTTTTTAATGTAAGGACGGTTATTGAAACTGGCAAAATATGACCATATCAGATTTGTATGCATAGCAGGCGAAACAACGTCAGCTGCAGTCAACGTGAGAAACATTTCCGTCTATAAAATGGTTTCTTTAACAAGAAAATTTGGCCAAAATATTTCTCGTATGGAGGTTACTGATGCAGAACAAACGGTTTCGCAGTGAAAACTTGAAGTGTGCATAGAATCTATAACATATGACATATACGTTCCGTTTTGATCGCATCTGATACGTGCGGTTGTGAATGGGTTCCAAAAATAAAAAAGAAACTAACCATATGTATGAAGTGAAGGGTCAATTCCTATCCAGTCACCCACATCGAGTTCTCTAGCTATAAAATCTTCAATAGAGATCGAATCGGGTTGACCTTGTTTTAGCAGTTTAAACGGTGGTACCAGCTGCTCCAAAGCCTGCAAGCTCACCATTTACAAAAGATTCAACAAATACAGTTCATTATAAATGGAAATCGTAGGTATTAAAATGTCTACTTCGAGCAGAAGTCTAAGAAGGACAAAACATTGCCGGGATTCTAGAGAAGCGCGCTGCAAATATGCAGTCCTACGAGCTCTCTCTACAGAAATCTCGTAAGAATTGTATGTTCAATAAGCTTGGCTGTTGAATATGCGATAAGAATACAAACATATTTAAGGGTGATTGCTGATGGCAGCGTTGGATAGAAAACTAGCCGAGAGAAACGCAGAGCAAGGGCCTCAGTGGTGCAGTGTGTAATGCGCGAGTCCCCGAAAAGCGTAATCGTGGTTCGCTCCTGACCGAGGTCTAAGTTTTGAATACTTCAGCATCGTTGTGATTGTATTTCACACAATACCCAGCCGTGAAATATTATAGTTAGCAGGGAATAAAAGGTTAACAAACATATTTAGTTATACTTGCGTAAAATAACGTCCATCGGTCCATAACACAGCCTTTTCGTTCGTCACAGCCACATAGGCATTAGAACCGGTAAAGCCGCTGAGAAATTTCACACGGAAATCGTGATCAGCGAGATATTCATTCTAAACGTCACGGTTTGCAACACCAATTTTCAGAAAAAAAACGACAAAGCATTTCTAGAGACAACCTGATGGGCATCGGTACTTGGTAAAAGGTACGCCTTAATAGGAGTTCCATTTGTTACCGTAAGAACTTTTGATGAAGAGAATTGAGCCCGAAGCAGATCAGTTTTTGTGGACATAAGTGAAATAAAATTCTGGAAAAGTAATGCTATAACTGCCTGGATTTTGGCAAAGAACCACCATAAAGGCGGTGTTTATCACGAAGAATTGCGGAGAAATTCGGCGCGTGGTTGTTTCGCAGACTGTGTAATAAGATAGTGGAGCTAAATGATAAGACAGTGAACAGCACAGTCACACAGTCCTGGCTGAGTTTGGACTGCGATACTCGATTGCCCTGGTGAATTACGACGGAGGGTTTACGTCGAAGTTTTGAAATGTTAACTAGAAGGCCGGCGTTGGATCACTGTGAAAGTGTTAGTTCCTTGTATAATCACGAAACTGAATTGCAGTTTATGTGTGACAATAGTGGACATGGCTTCATTGTGATAATACTGATCTGCGATTAGATTGGAAGTGTCAGTACGTAGGCTAACCGAGTTCTGGAGTGCGTAGGTATAACACAAAAAGATTTACCGTATTCCAAAAGAGACACCTGTGGGTCGAACTACGGCATATAATTACTGCAATAGCTTTGAGGATGTAGTTATTAGGCGAACCTGAGACGTTGATAGCTTCGGAAAAAGAGCAATAGCGATTGAAGTGATCGTTAGAACGAAGTGTGATAAGGCGATAGGCTGATATCTGGTCACTATTGTTCTCCAGTGCCGCGTGTCTTAATATCTTGGCGCTTTCCACAGTGTGTACCTGAAACCTGGATAATTGAACCACTACATAAACAATACTGATACAACAATAACAATGAAGCGACGCTAATAAGTACAGCATGTTTATATAAGAACAAGCACGAGTATTAATGCAGCGATGATTAAGACAGGATATCCACAACATATGACTGAGGTTAATGCTGTTTATCTGAATGGAGAGCTCAAGAAATCAATCCCACTATAAGGGTAAGAAATCCAAGGGAGGTGAAGACTCTAAGAACAAAAGAATTGACAAAATGAGTGGCCAGGTGTTGAACATCTTCTCCATCTTTAACTTGTTTATTTACCAACCTAGTGTTGGCTTATCAATGAAAGAATACATATCGATCAGTCATAGCGAGGCTAAAAGAAAGTCGGTTTTCGAAATGTGTTCTTAGATTGGACATCGACTCGAATCATTCCTGCCCTGAGGAGGTTGAATAAACCTTAACAATCTTACCAAAAAAAAGACATCAGAACGTCAGCCGAATGAACCTTATCAATCCAATGTTGGATTACCAGTGAAAGAATACTTTAAGAACAGTACCCAAGTGAAATGAAAAATGAACAATGACACTGCTCATGATCGTTTTGAAATAGGCGGATCAGGTTACATTTCCAAGATTCTAGGATTGCTTTGTCAACAGATCATTGGAAACTATAATCTCATACTGACTAGAGGGGAAACGATTTCGTAATAATGCTATCTTTTTTATTTACTGCCTATTACAATTTTTGTAAAGTAGATAAAAAAGGCAGCTTTGTGATTTCGACTTCAGCCTCAGCTTAACTGAGATTATCGCCGATTCGGTCTATCCAGATCAATCACACTGACGGATGATTGCTGATGCCACTAATCGATGGAAAACTAGCTGAGCGAAAAACGAAACGAAGGAGCCGCATGATGTGGTGGTGAACGCGTTAGCCCCAGGAAAAGGTAATAGCACGTTCATCCCCCACCGCAGACAACTGCGGTTAGGAGTTTTACAAATATCTCAGCACCATTGTGATTTCGTAACACATTTAGAATGACCGAATAGAACTGTAGAAAACCAACATAGAGGTTTTACGATTCCACGGAAAGACACAGAATATTCACCAAATCATAGCGAATACTCCCTGTAGAAATAGAACAGGTTAACGATCGCGTATGGAAAAAAAGAAAAAGAATCAATAATGGTTCTTTGAAGTTTTCACCAACCACGATATGAATTCCCTTCAACTGGTGCTGTGAAAAGAAATTTTGAGCTCAGCAAACCGCAAAAAGACAGTAAAAGTTTTGATACACCTGAGGTCTAAGGCTTTCTGCTGTAAAGTAAAATGAAGGCATACCATAGGCAGTAATATTACATTGTAATTTTCGTACTTCCCTTGTTCTTTTACTTCCCACCCCCACCCCCCCCCGTCACAATTAAAACCAACGAGACAACAATTTACGTCATGAGCTTTATGTGGTCGTTAACGTTGCACTGGTTTTGCACTTGCGTTCGTGGCTGATTTTCGCGCCGCCCCGTTCACACGCTTTTCCAACTCGCTCTCGTGTCGACGGCTATGTAGAAAAAATAGCTATCGACCGGGATGGTAAGTACGTAGACGAGCGAAGGGCTTCGAGGATAGTTGGACCAGGTTTTCTTTTGAAATCCGTCGAATCAAGTCGAGTCTTTATAGGTTACCGCATTTCTGTTCGTCTAGTATTCTAAAATTTGGTAGAATTCTAAGTACTAAAGTTATTTTGATCTCTCTAAGGATGTAACAGTTCATTTGATGGACATGTTTCTTGCTTCTCGTAGTGCTTCCAGTATGTTTTTCTTTACCCGTTTTGCCGCCGTAGAATTGTTCCTTAATTCACTTGTGCTTTGTCTTTCCATTCCTTATGACTCGATATCTCTGCTGGTTTCTGTTGAGTAATAGGTCATCTCTACTTTTGAATTATTGCTCGGCTATAGGCTTGTATTTGTTGTACTTTGTATCGAGCGACTTTAACCTGTATGGTTGTTCCATAGCTAATCTGATTTAATCCTAAGAGTGACTTTAGGGTAGCTATGAACTAGCGTAGTAGTTTGCACTGTTCTTCCAAACCCGTACCATGTCGTCTTCTGCTGTGTTCATTCTCGATCTGAAGGGGAAGGTAATTTTCCACTCCTGTATTGTTCTTTTTTTAATATTATGTCTAAACAAGTAGTTCCAACCACACATTAATGGTCTAGCCAGTTTCCTGTATAGCTTATTTTCTAGACGATCATATCCCGTAACTACCGTGGAGATGTCGACATGGGACTCATTGATCGATTCCTTCCTCTACTGATGGATCGTGAAGAAGAAGGCTTGGCTTCACCTGTGATTTCAAATCAAGATGTCACGTTTGTTTACATTAAGCACAACAATATCTATCGTTAGTGTTTACGGCAATGTCTCTTTTTTTCCTTTTCTTTCATTTTCTAAAAGTATCCCATTTGCTTTAAGTAGTTTCAACTTGTCGATCCAACGTTAACGTTACCTTGGTGCTGTCGTTCCTCTTCAAGTGTGTTGAGGTAAGTTTTCTTCCTTAGGTTCAGTTTTTCCAGTAGATGCGCCTAAATCGAGTTTGCAGAGAAGTGCAAGTGTTCTAATAGGTTTTGAATACATTATAACTAGTAAATAGTTTTGCAAAGGCTCTCTATCCTCGAGTACTTTTTATCTTGTTTCTTTTTATTGGTTGGTAGGGACTATGAATAATGGTGAGGTTTTTCTAGGTTTTCACTGAGTACTTCAAAGACGTAGAGGAGGAGTCAGTTCGAGACAACTTTGTGGTCATATATGAATTACTTGATGAAATGATGGATTTCGGGTTCCCACAAACCACTGAGAGCCGAATTCTTCAGGAGTAAGGTTCCACGTCTTTAGACTAAATGTTGTTATTATCAGTTGAACTACCTACACTGTATAATTGCTTAGGTTCATTACACAAGAAGGTCACAAATTGGAAAATGCTCCACGACCACCAATGGCTGTTACAAACGCTGTTTCTTGGAGGTCGGACGGTATAAAATACCGAAAGAACGAGGTTTTCCTCGATGTTATCGAAAGCGTTAACATGTTGGTAAGTATTTATCTTAAGTGGAATGCTTGTCCTTACACCTTTTCTTTAGACCCGATTTGCAGGCAAATGCCAATGGTACTGTTCTGCAAAGTGAAATTGTTGGAAGTGTAAAGATGCGAGTTTATCTGACGGGAATGCCGGAGTTACGGCTTGGACTTAATGACAAAGTGTTGTTTGAGGGTAGTGGACGTAAGTTTTCAAGTCATTCTTTTTATTACCTTCAAAGCGCATCTTGCCTTCATCATTTTTGATTGTCTTCTGGAGATAAATAACCACTATCTCCTCTACTTCGGGTCTGTGAGCAGAAAAATATTCTTTGTGGTTGGAGCGACGGATTTTCTTTCTCATTGCTTCCCATTTTTTCCCTATCTGGGATAAAGTCTATCGTGTCTTCCACCGCCTTTGTTGAAGTCGTTAGAAAACTTTTCTTCTAGTATTATATGTTGTTTGTGTTTTATTCGTGTAGTTCTGGTGATTGCACTTCACTTTTTTTCTTTTGTTCAAAGGTGGAAAAAGCAAATCCGTCGAATTGGAGGATGTGAAATTTCATCAGTGTGTTCGCCTTTCGCGTTTCGACAACGATAGAACGATATCATTTATTCCTCCTGACGGAGCGTTTGAACTGATGAGTTATCGTCTCACGACTGTTGTGAAACCACTGATCTGGATCGAAACAAACATCGAGAGACACTCGCATTCACGTGTTGAGTTTATGATCAAAGTTAGTCATTTAAGAACTTCATTCCATACGTTTTTTACATAAGGTTTTTTTTTCATGATTCGGTATCTATAACGATGTTTTTTCCTGACCGACCTTCTCTCGACAAAAATTTCATTTAAGGCGAAATCTCAGTTTAAACGTCGTTCCACCGCAAATAATGTTGAAATAATCATTCCTGTCCCGTCGGATGCTGATTCACCTAAATTCAAGACAAGTATTGGTGCGGTAAGGTATGCTCCTGAACAGAATGCGTTCGTCTGGACGATTAAAAGCTTTCCTGGTAAGATTATTGTTATATATCATTCCAAGAAAAATAATTTCTTCTTTCCTAGGAATTCACTACACTTGTTTAGGTGGTAAAGAATACTTGTTGAGTGCGCACTTCTCGCTACCATCTGTTATTGGTGAAGAAGCAGAAGGAAGGCCTCCTATTAAAGTGAAGTTTGAGATCCCATATTTCACCACTTCCGGCATTCAGGTGTCTTATTCTATTTATTGTATTTTTGGGTCTGCTATATGTTCCAACTTGATTTATACATGTACAAATATACGTTTGCACATATATAAGACATATATACATTCACGTGTGTGTGCATATGTACGTATATGTATACGTATACATATATATATATATATATGTTTATACATACGTATATATACGAGGCGGATAGCATGGTGGTAGTGATGTAGATCATTATGGTACTGTTTCGATCTCGCTGCAAGATCAGCAAGCTTTTCATCTCTGCGGGGTCGGGAAATTGGTACAGGACTGCTCCGTGAAAAAAAATCACTGCCTGCTATCCAAGTAGGGATACTCTGTTTTGGCTGTCTCTGAGCTCCAGCATGTCCTAACCCAGGGAATCGACTCGACCAGCACCCTAGGACATTCAAGGTGAAATGAAAATCTTCAAGTAATAGCCGAAGCCACATGGGAGAAGACCTTGGTGGATGGTGGATGAGAGGAAAGAAAGATGGATGCGAGAAATGTTGGGATTCGAACAGTAACCGTGAAAGACGGGTCGTATACAGTAAATTATGAAAAATTATGTACGCTACAGTCGGTAAAAACGAAAATTTTATAGGTCCGCTATTTGAAAATCATTGAGAAAAGCGGTTACCAAGCTCTGCCATGGGTTAGATATATCACACAAAATGGAGACTACCAAATGCGAATGAAATGATGCTTCTTCTAACAATATGGCATTCGTCGTTTGTAGACCGATAATTTTGCATTCTTTTTATATTCGGCGTGGTACAACATGGTTCTATAATTTCTTTCGTAATGAGAAGTTTGTGTATGAATTTCCCTAGCGGTGCTTGCTTCGAACCTGGAACTGTGTGCAGGTGATTGTACTGATATCATATTGGATCTGTTTTATCATGCGCTGGCAGTTGTCTTGGTCTTCATGGTTTCTGATTGTTGTTCCGAGCTTTTTATGTGATCGTCGTGTTCAGATGTTCAGATTTTTCTTAAAAATCGAAGATTTGACCTCTTGGTGTTGTTATACTTAGCAAAACATCGTTAACTCGGTTTTCTACTTATTTTATTTTCTTACTTTCCAATGTTTACAGCAGGACGTTATCATAATCTCGAGATTTCTTCGTGGTTATCTCGTGTTTTGTCGTACTTACTGATACTGTTTCGCTATGAGTTACTCCTTATGATTGAACATTTAAATGTTTATAATGTGAATAGGATTGAAGCTTTGTCCAATGTCTATGCTTTTTTTGGGTTGTGTCCATTAAACGGCACGCTCTACCGTTGCGGGATATCTTCTTAAGCACCTTCATATTGCATTTGTGCACTTAATAATGTGCTTCCACCCCTACCTCCTTTATATTCTATTATTTCCAGATGCGTCATTACACAGCGTACGCTGGAAGGTTTTTTCTACATCTCTGCTCGTCGAAACCTGCCACTTCGGCTCCTTTAATGGTGATTGTTCCATATTTCTTCAGGATATTATGTGGGATTTTATACTGTTTACTTATCTCCAAAGAAGCTTGTCGGTATAGCAAATCTTTTTTTTTATCAATTAATACTTTCCACTTGTTTTTATCTCGTGGTTCTTATCTGCTTCATTAGATTTTCTGTGATTACAATATGTGGATCATTTTCTCCGCAGGAACTGGTTTCGTTCTTGCATACTTTCCAATTTAGGTATCTTCACCAGTGCGAATTAAACGTTTCACAACAAAACGTTTCTTGCATATGTCAGCAGTAGCCTATGAAGAAGAGTGTAGACTAGAAAATGATTTTACATCTGACGATCTCGTAGCCGGTCCGTCCATGCTGAGACGTATTGTCGCAGACTTGGGTAAAAATGGTATACAATTCATCCTACCTACGGCTGATTCAGACTCCATGGAACAACTGACATATGCACTGCGATCACTTGCAAACATTGGTTTGTTTTCACGTATCCCTTAAAGCGCTTAATAAATTTTGTAATTTTGGTTTGTATAACTTTGTCAACTTACGGCGTGTCTTTTAAAGGAGTTAATCCGAAGTTTCTAATCGATGCATGCCGAAAAAATCCTCAGTTGTTTCGTAATTTAACCACTAAGGGAGAGGAAGCATATCAGGTAACTATAATACGGCCTACTGTAGTAGTTTTTTTCTTTTTTCTTCGATTTTCACAAGAGTTTTGGCGTCGGCTTAACATTGGTTTGATCTTATATTTATCAAATGAGGTAAAGTATGAAATAATTTCAGCTTATACTTGGGGGTAATCCAGAGTAGACGCTATGATTTTGTTTCAACTCAAACGTAATCGGACATATTTTTGACTGGTAACTTTGAAGAGACAGCTCATGGTAATAGTGGATCTTATTAATTGAAGTGAAGACCATTAAAATAAGAAGGAAAAATCAAAAGTCGTTAAACAAAAGGGGTTTATCCATTGTCTTGGTGTTCCCGGTCGTTGGTTGATGTCTGCACTCTCGCGAATGAGTCAGAAACCAAAAATTTTATGTACTGTCTTTAATCTTTTCGAAGTCTGATGTTTCAACCACTGTAAGAGTACGACATATGTGGAAAAAGTAACATTTTTTTAAAAATTATGTAGTAAAACCTCTTCTAGAACTGTTAAAATTTCAGCCTGCAAGTGTCATAGTTAACTAAAAAATTGTGCGAGAGCCGACTAAAATTAGGTGTAATGGTGCGCATATTCCTTTCATATACCTTGTAATTCCTGTTATTTGTGCTCTATGATTTTTTTCATCCAAGCTTCTTAAGTTGTAATATTGCATATAACCCCATCTTTGAGTACCTGTCTTAAATCGATTTCTTAGCGTCTTGCGAATCGAGGGTATCTAGAAGGACTTACGACAAACACTTTCTTTTCGAGAAAAACAGAAGGTGATGGTACCTAAGAATCGATCTTTGAATAGTCATTCAGTTTATTTTAGATCCTTAAAGTACTTGTAACCTCATGTGGAATGACTTATGAGGATTCACTTCGAATGTTTTCAAGGTCGGTATTCTTTATTTCCGTTGTGATTTCCATATTTTTGGGTAAAATGTACTTAAAACGGAAATACTTTGCAGCTGGTATGTTCATTCTTATTCAACGAAGGTTTAGAGTGTTTTAAAAAAATGGCAGTTTTACCTCCGTTAATTTTGGTTTTTTCCATTTTATATAGGATTAAATGAATCTTTGTTTAACATATTCACGACTGTGTAAGTTTTTCGAAAACTTCTGGCAATCACAGGATTTTGACTTCTGTTTGCTGCCTATTCTTTTTCTAATAGCAGGTTACTGTGTAAAATACAACCTCTGGGATGCTGAAATATGAGCAAAACTCGAAGCCTCAGTTGAGCTTCAAACTCTCGATTACTTTTACTAGGGATGACATGATCCCGAGTATCATAAAAATTAAAACGTTGTGACTTCGGCTGCAACTTCGGCTTAACCTGGCTCTGTACCCATTTGTGTTTCCTAGATCATTCTTGCTGACAGGTGATTGCCGATAGCAGCGATAAAGTAAGAACATGGCTGAGAGAAAGATAAAGCAAACTTCTTGACTGGTGTAGTTTTTAGCATTGGAGTAGCCACTTGGGGTACTTACGGGTTCAAATTCTAGCTGAGATTCCGAGTTTTACTGCTGGTAATTCCTTGTTTGCTTTATTTATTCTTTTAATTCCTTGACAGATGAAGTACTTTGAGCGCTTGGAAATTAGAAGAGTTGTAGAAAAATCTTTATCTCTGAAGTGCAAACGATTTTTTTTTGAAACTTTTAAATTTGAAATCAGTTTTTAACTCGGCTTTTCAAAAATTGTAGGCGTTATTTAGATTTTTAAGACCTTTAAAGTATCTGCTGCAAACTCTATGACATCGCTGTGTTATGCTGAACGAAATTCGTATTGCTCAATCGCTTCACTGCTCAAAATTCGCATCTGAAGAGAAAGTCAGTAGATTTGTAGCTTCGACCTCCAGAAAAAGCTCTGTGTTGTTGGCAAAGATCTGTAAATCGTAGCAGTTTCAACTTCATTTCTTTATTCGTCTTCTTTGTTTAATAAAATTAAGCTCGTTTTTCCAAGTGCTATGTGCTCGTTCGAAGTTAGTTGGAGCTGTTATTTTCGAAAACACAGCCATTTAAATCAACGCATATATTCAGGAATGGGTCGAATTTCGTAGCACTTTGAAGCAGAAATCCCTTGCTGTATTTTTGTATTGCCATTGTTTTTGTATTGCAGTTACGAAACATATTCGAATTGAAACACATGGTTTCTCAGTATGATAATGGGTGTTCCGTTTTGCTTTTTACATCAATTTTTCAGAGGTTTGGTTCCGTAATTTTCGCAGTGTAGGTGCCTAGCAGTTCTTGCATGCTGAGTTCCGCCTCAAATCACAGACATTGACCATTTGAAGAGGGTATCTGAAGTGAAAGGCGCGTGTGGCGCAGTAGTCGGAGGCGCCCCGCAACACGCACGTGGAATCGATTCCCGCGCCCATGGCCCACTAAACCTCCCATCCCTTCGGGGTCGGCGAATTGGTACTACACTTGTCTGGGAAGATAGCCGCACTGGCTGGATACATCGGCAGGCCACCGCGAGTAATTAAAAGCCAGATATACGTTCAATCATCAACGATGTTTAATGAAGTCGAATGCGTAGCGCATCCCGTAGGGATTGGTCAACGCCCTGAGCTTTATCCATTATCCTTTGTTCGAAATTATCTGCGCGTAGGCTTATCTTTTTCAAGCTTTTTCCACTAGCGTTTCCATGAACTAGATATGAGTAGTTGAACAGTTCATGCGCTTCACAATTGAATTTGAGAGTCGGGCAAGGTGGACAAGCGGGGGTCGTATGAATCGAAGGAAGAGACTGTAATTTTAAAGTATGTTGGCGCCGGATTTGTTATAGAATGGAAGCATTGTCAGGAAGTCGATAAAATACACCACAAATTGCATCTGGTGCGCCCGACATTGATCAATAGAAAGTGATCAGTTTCGTTGTACGATAACTGCCAACCACACGTCCCACAGCGAAGTCTGCATGTTTAAAGAATCAGAATATAAAATTCTGCCAAATTTAATGTATTCAGTACCCTTGAGCCAAATTAGTCCTTATTGGAAGATCTTTACATTTACTTTATGAGAAGATCTTAACTTTAAAAATCCCATTGAAAATGTCATTAGAAGGGTCTATAAGTGTTGGATTTTATTGCAATGAGGTAAAAGAGCTTTATCCTGTTAGCAATGACATGTAGATTCTAATAATTTCTATTTCGGCCAATAAAATCTGGGCTGCACCTCGTAAGTACACATGTGTTGCAGCGTACGTGTATGTATATGTATGCATATATACATATATGTAAATTTGATGCATATATATATACATGCATTCACGAATTTGTTTGGGGTTCAAAAAAAGTTTCGCCTTTGTTTTCTGAACTGCCTAATGTTATAGAGGAATCTTTTCCCAATAATTGGACTTTCGGATGCGTTCCTCATCTTGAGTGTCTAAGAGCTTCACTTCTTCTTATCACTTTATTTATTCACTCTTATCATATTTAATGTTCTGATTGTGTTACCTTTGTTGCACTTTGACATTTCAGTTTTGTAGCGTGCAGAGTAGACGTCACATAGCTTCGAGGTTCCGCTGTTCTATAACAACATTTTATAAACATTTTACAACTTTCTCTTCAGTCCTTGCTAAATAAAGTCGTTTATGTGTTTTACCAACGAATGCCGTTATGTCCTTTTTGTGTTTCGAATCTTCGGTAACAGTTTAGTTTGTTTATATGAACGACATTTTGTCATTGTCCTCCCAACGGTTTACCGCTGCATCGTAGCTGCTGCGAGGTGTTCCTGCGAGTTGTGCTGCGATGTACAGCGGGGGATTCATCGTGCCAGCAGTACCTCCAAAACTGAGAAGGAGTCAGGCTTCTCTATTAGGATGTGCAAATAAGAGTAAACCATTACCAGGATCTATCATCGTACTCGTATCAAACTATTTGCATGGTGGTAAATCTCCTTCTGATCCACAAAGACCACGACTGCCTGTGGTGATGACGACCTGGGGCAAACCTTGGCCAGGATGACCTAGGGATTCCAGGCTATCACAATGGCTAAGCCAGCAGAAGTGCGAAAAGGTGGAAACTATTCTGGCGTCAACCCAGCCTGTAAGGACGGGCCAGCCAAGTATCCATGTGAGTATGCCAGTGTCAAACTTTAAACCAATAATTTATCTCTGTTAAGAAGAGTGTAGGATGAGGAGAAGTTGTGTAATTTGTTGTTTCTTTCCTTATTATTATAGTCTTGCAAGGTGTTTTATGTGATAAATGTTGCTATTAGTTGTAGTTATGCCATCAGAACTCTTTCATTTTCAGTCTCTAAAGTAATTATCACTACAAATGAATTTTGTGAAGTGATTAATTTAGGGTGAGTTTGCTTTCTTCAGTGTGAGTGGAGACCGACCCAATTAGGCGTTCGACCCACATGTCATTTTTCTTAAGTTGTTTCCTCATGAAGTCTAAGCTCAATTTTAGTAGGAAAAGACTCAAACTGTCACTGAGTTTTATACGGTACCTTACTGGTTTGTTGCTCTCTGTCAGGTTTATGATCAGTTGAGGTGAGGTAAGCTATTTTCCTTTTGGTCCAAACCTTCATCTAAGGTTACATACTCTATGTTTCCTGCGCATTGTATTCTGTGAGGCTATTTTAAACAATGAGGAATTTATTCAGCCATGGTGACGATCTGTTGGCTTGTTCCTCTGCTGATATTCAAGCTCGTGTGGACGTGCTTGTGATATGTGACGTGGAATCCGGTGCTGCTTGTGGTAAAGTTGTGCGAAAATGCCCCGCAATTTTGTTTGCGAGAGAACCCATGGAAATGCGCAAACTGGTGGAAGCTTTAGGTGGATTCTTTTCAAGAAAAGAGGTATGCTTTTTCGACCTGAGGTATTGTAACTACTTTTTATAGATGGTCACTACTCTGACCTATATTTCTCAGGCTTTCTTGGGTGCACATGTGTATTCATGGATACTTGAAGATAGTTACGTCTAGCAAAAAATAAAACCTAAATATCTGAACTTGTAGTTGCTCCAGCACAACGAAGGCAAGGAACCCATTTACTTAACCCACTTATGCCTCTCAGTAAGTGCTTGGTCGCCTTTAAGAGGTGTCCAACCTTTCCTAATTCATTTCTATTGGCCTATCTAATGAATTCGGACACACTATGGTCACCGATTCGTTTCCGGGCAAATCGATTCCACAGTCCCTCCATTTTGGTAAATCGGTGAAAGGCTTGTCTAATAGGATGCTGGTTTGATACTGTGCAGTTGATAGTCATTGTGTAGAGTAAATGTGAATTGATTCGTCTATAATATACTTAAACGAGTCGAATAGATGGAGCTTACTGATAGATCAACGCCGAACGCATGTAGTATACTCGTGTGCTTCTAACACTCTATTTCCTTTTGATGGGCTGTTTTAAATGTTGAATAATTTCAGATATCAGCGATTGTGCAAACTGTTCCTGAAGTACTGTTAAAAAATATTGAGGAACTGGAAGAAAAATATGAATACATTTTCTTTCACGTTGGTTATCAAGTTTTTGGTGCCGTCAGTTTCTTTACGTTTGAGCTTTTGTCACCATTGTTTGCCATTTCAGAGTTGTTTTTACGACTGACAGTTCCAACTACATAGTGGGTCAAACGTTCTTACAGATGTGTATCGAAGGCGATGAGTTCAAGGAATGCACTAATTGGGTGTTCATGGACCTTGATGACATAATGGTGCGGCATGAGTTCCTGTTAAAGACCGGCCGATATACGACACCGGACGCAAAGCGTCCACAAAAGAAAATGGTGAGCTGTTCCATCTACGATGTTTGACGTTTCGTCTATTCCTGTCAGGTCGAAAGCCGCTTTGTTTTAGTTGTGAAGTTTTTGTTTTCGTTTGCTATATTATAGCTTTCGGAGATCGGTTAAATGTTTATGATTTGGGTTTTGTTTTTTGTTTTTATTTTTCTTCTTTGTTCTACCCATATATTGTCATGTTACAGACGGAGTGTGAAAAGTTATGCGCGAGTTGTAGAACTCGTTTTTCTTACACAAATTTGTTAAGGATTTAATACTTCCGAATAGATTAGTACTCATCGAGCGTAAATAAAAAACATAAAGCCCTTGCTGTTGATCTTTCCCTGAGGGATATGATATACATTCGACTTCATTAAGCATCGTTGGAGGTGATTGAAGTCATATTTGGCCTTTACAATGATTCGCGGTGGTCCACCGATGTATCGAGTCGGTGCTGCTATGCTTCCAGACAAATTTGGTACCTAATATTCACCCAGTTGTCGAAACACCTTACAGCCCATCTAACGAATACCCAGATGTTTCTGAATTGTCTACGTACTGCGCGGCCCAACAGCGCGTTCGTGATGGAGTCCTTCGACGTTACCGCCCTTTATGCAAACGTGTCGAATGACTCCGCTATGCGAGCCATTTTCGAACTACTTATACTATGCGAAGGAGCAATAAAAATGTATGGCTTCACGAAAGAGCAGTTGACGGCACTCTTAAAAGCATACCTGAGCTGTTCAATCTTCAGATGGTTCAGAAAGTGCTACGCCCAAATAAGAGGGTTGGCAATGGCGCAGCGACTGGCACCAAGCATTTTCATTGCGTTTGTCTAAAGGGGAAGCACTAGTAACCGATCTCCGGCCGTTGCTCTACTGTAGATACATAGATGACTGTTTTGTCTTTTGCTCAACACAAGAGGAAATGGATAATTTCGAGTTGTTGAACGAACTGTCAGTGTATATCAAGTTCACCCGAGAGAAACCGAAAGAAAACTGGCTTCCATTTCCAAATTAACTGAACGTCCAAATTAACTTGTCCGAAAGCGGTTACGTTACAAAGTGGTGCCGAAAGCAAAGTAGTAGAAATATCTTGGTTCATTACATCTCCTCTCACCTCTCTTACACGAAAAGAGTGTTTGTAGGAAACATGTTTCGAACACTCACCAACATATGCATAAGAAGAGAGCAGAAAGAGGAATCCGTGAAAGTGGCGGGGGAAATAGCCATTTTCAATATCTATGATACTGTAGCTCCACGGGGTGGGTGTAGAGGAAAGCGTAAACCCCTAACGATAGCTCTAGAGATAGTAAGGTCCCGTTTATCCTGCCCTTCACCTCAGACGAACTGAGCGCAGCTATAAAACGCTGCTTAAGAAGGTTCACAACCGCCTATATTACCGTCTATGTACGACGCAAAATTGCATAATTTGTCTCAATGGTAGAGACGGTGATTGCATGAGTTCGGGCACAGTTTATCTGATCTCTTGTAAAGCGTGCGGGGACGAACACGTTGGCGAAACGCGTGGACCACTTTGCGTCGGTGTAAAAGAACAACTATTTGGTAAACTTAAAGTTAAACCAAGTACCCCACCAGGCGCCCATAGGACACACAGACATAACGGGGAAGATTTTGAAATAGTAGTGACGATACTCACACAGGAGTCGAAAACACACGCGCGCAAAATTATTGAGGCATTCTGGATTAATTCCAAGAAGATGAACCGCAGTGACCTTATCTTATAGTCACGCGTGATATCGGGCAGTATTTAAGACTGCTGTTTTGATGTGTGAGGCACATTACACTTCCATGTGAGCTCTGTGTGGTTGGTCTCCACGTGACATATTCAGTGGAAGACTCATATTAAGCGGTTAGTTTGCAAAGAAGCTATTCTGTGTCCAATGTGATTGAAATCTTGGTTTGGCATTTTCTCTGTTTGGTTTATGGAAGGGTTTGGCTGGGTAGGCTGTGGTTAGGTTGACCCTGCCAGGCTGTGAGGAAGGCGAAGACCACCGAAACGTCAGCTTGTTCTTGAATGAGGAATAAAATAACGCTTCGGGTTTGCTCAACAAGAATATAGAGAATTCTGGTACCAATTTTCCGACTCCGGAGAGGTGGAAGGGTTGCTGTACCTGGGACGCGGGGACCGATCCCAGGTGTATTACGGGGCGTGTCCGATCACTGCGCTACATGCTCTCTCTAGCTTTTGGTCTCAGTTTTATTTTTGTTTCTCTTTTTGAATGATCAGTAAATGGAATTTCCTTTCAGTTCTCTGTTGTTTACCAGCAGTTTGTAAGATTTTTTTAAGGAAAATCCTCGATTACATCAAATTTTGGATTCCAGCGACGACAACTTTGCAGTGCAGGTAGGACAATTTTGTCGAATACTACTTGGTACTAGATGGTTATAATTTATACTTTTTATGATTATAGCATTTTTAAATCTCTACAATGCTTATGTTACAAATCCTTTTATCAGATGTTTTTTTTTTGAGTTAGATGTTCGAGACAATGTGTCTGCAAACTGTAATCCATAGAGGACGGAATGAGTAGCCTTTTTGAAATTTTTTCGTAGAGTGTTACCTTACTCGCCTTTCGCAACGAACCTGGATTTCCTTTAACTAACGATAAGTTCTTCGTCACTAGAGTATTTATTTTAGATTATATTTACTAAATCTATAGAGGGCACGTTTGGTGCAGTGGTTGGAGGCCCCATTGCGACACACACGTGGAATTGATCCCCGCGCCGTTGCCCACCAAACCTTCCATCCCTCCGAGGGCTGCAAATTGGTACCAGACTTCTCTGGGAGGATAGCAGCACTGGCTCGATACGTCTGTAGGCCACCGCGAGCCATTGTAAAGGCCAGATATGCATTCAGTAACTTCGAGCGATACTTAATGAAATCGAATGCATGGCGCATCCCTCGGGGATTGATCAACGCCAAGAGCTTTTTATCCTTTTGTAGAGGAGACTTTGCTCTATCGAATAATGGCACATATAATTTTCACGCAATGTGCTTTCAAGTTTAACACTTATGCCTCGTAGGGACTGATAATTGTTCAATAACTGGAAAACTTGAGGAGTTTAAAACGTGAAACTTATAAAGTAGTCTTTCTTAACCTTTTTATTTACTGCCTATTTTTTTTAACGGCAGGGTATGTTGCGAAATATAACTTGTAGAATGCTGAGATATTTGCAAACCTCCGGACCGCAGGTGTCTGAGGTGGGAAAGGAACGCACTGTTGTCCTTTCCGGAGAGTAACGCGTACACCACCACACCATGCGGGTCCTTCGTTTCGCCTGTCTCTCAGTTAGTTCTATCGATCTTTCTCCATCAACAGTCACCCGTCAACGGGACCGCAGACACCTGTGGTCCGGAGTTTTGCAAATATCTCAGCATTATGCAAGTAAACTTTACTTGATCTTTAAGAGTAAGTATGAGACTTAATAGCTGCTATTTGATCTTTGAACTCCTCTGGAATTAAAATTTCCGTACTAAGTGAAGGCGAGAGTTTAAATTTTCAAAATTACTTTCAAAATTTCTGTAATCATAAACATCGGTAATGCGTTTGAGGCAATTGCTTTTGTTTTTGAAATAGGAGCTTTGGCAAAAAAAAATGACAAACTGCGATTTCTGGGCTCCATTAAATTAGAATTTCATCTTGGTAGAGAGGAATTTTTTCGTACTTGTTTGGCAAAAGTATGAAATTGTAACGTTTTTTTCATTTAATTAAGTTCACATTGGTTTACTACTTGTGAGGTTGAGAACGTCCGCCGTTTTCGTGGTATGTGAGTGTAATTCGAGTCATGTCTGACCTTAAATTCTAAATATGTTTGAACTAGGATTTTCGAAGAATTTGGAACTAAATCTGATTTTTTTAAAATTTCCGACGGAAGAGCAGCAGCTGCAAAACTAAAGGATACATTGGTAAACACCATCATATCACACTAGACGAAGTCCTGTCTTTAGTTTGGGTTTTGTTGGAAATGTGAGTGTTGGAGTAGTAAAGTGGATGAAATTTGTGTTACAAGCCGCAGAAGATCAGAATTTCTTTGTGGTACAACAAAGAGATTTTCATCTTGCAAGGGACTTCTAGAGTCAAAAACTTTTAAATTCCAAATATTTTTACTGAAACTATTGAAATTAGTTATAAGCTAAGATATGTTGATTTAAGACTTAATGGACGTTGTGTATTCTATGTACATGGTCTTTCGTTGTGGCCGTTATGAGTTGTGTAGGGGTCATTTTCTTTACAGTAGTTTGCTTTGGCGCACACAATCCCTTTCCTTTATTTAACATAATCAATTGATGGGTTCTCCAATACAAATGTTTTGCCTTGTGTCGTCTGGGAAAAGCTCTACTCTGTACCTGGAAATACACTAAAAATTTTCTCGAATGATTTCATTGAGTCATAGTATGACAGTGGTATTTCAATTATAACCTCTGTAATGAATCATGGTTATTCTATGGAATGAAAAGATATTTTTAAAAAAGTGCAAATGGACAAGGCATAGGTTACAACACACTTGCAAAGGTTGACAGCTAAGTACTTGTATGATGCAACATGGTAACGTAGAATAAATAGCAGCACACATACCATGCATACTTGTAGAGCGATAGAGTAAAGTCCTTTTTACATTCCTGTCATGTTCACAACCTCTTTGTCTTCTAGTTATCGGAAAACTACCATCTATTTCCGCAAAACCGCCACACCCATAACTGCTGAAGATTAAACGTTGTCCCAGGCGGCGGCGGGAACGCTAAAGACAGCGTGGGTGTTGTGTTATAGTGTAGAGCGGCCATTGTTTTTGCATAGTATAACTCCCATAGAGATCACATTGTAGAGTAAATGTTAATATTCATTCCAAGTAGATTTTTTATTCAAGTGGTATGTTGTTGGTTTGGCAATATTAGCTTGAGTCCCGAGAGATCCGTGCCAGGATGTGTTCTGGTCATCATTATAGGCAGCCTTAATCCCTTGTGCATTGGGGGTTTGCCGTCTTGAGTATCACTGCTGCTGAATAAACCCTTTGCCCAATAATACATTGCAATACCATGGCAACTCCTCTACCACGATAAGGCGGTTGACCATCGGATGTATTCTTCGTATATTATTACTAACTTGCGTAGACACGTAAATAACCCATCTACATGTGAGCGTATGAGCACTTCTTCCATATGTTTCGCTATCTTGGAACCGCCCTCCACAGAAGTAATTTCGTCCAAGTGTGCATTTGGCTGCAGCTTGAATGTCTGTAGGTTTTTTTGTCTGTTCCTTTCCTCACTAACGCAAATTCTGACCGATCGAGTATAGTTTCCCCCATAGATATGAGATAGCCTTAGGTGGGTCATCATCACAATCTGTCGCCTTGTGGGCGGGCCCGAGGGAAGTTTGTTACCTTGAGTGTCAGCTTACGTGACCACAGCTAATTTGCCGGCTAGTAGACTGATTACTCCAGGGCAACGTAATAAGCCGAATCCTTGTACTTAAAGTACATTAGGAAGGTGATAAAAAAATTTTTTTCGTGGTTTGCAAGACCGTAGTTGCCACATTGAATTATTATTTTCGATAAGAGTGTTCTTCAGTACTTTAGTATGTGAACATATTTATATTCGATAAATTCTACTTTCTTGATAAGTTATGCCATAGATGGGAGATGTGTTGCTACAGGTGGCTGGTGTAACACGTGAAGAGTGGGCAGTATATTGTGCTTTTTCCGAGTTGATGTCGAATCGGAGCGATAAGGAACGTCCATATGAAAGAGTGAAGCCATCGATGAGGAAAGCGTTTGAAAGAAAATGGAAAGAAGAAAAAGTTCTCGATGATTACACGTTCGATGTGGCATTATCACATCGAGCATAACGCCGACTGTGTTGTGAATTGGTAAGGATGCAGGCAGATTAGAACGAAATAATAATGGAACTCTGGAAAGGTTTTTTAATCACAGATTGGAATTTATTAGCACTTTTCTGTAGTGTCATTTTGAAACAATTCATTTGTGTGTAACCCTCTTAATTGAGTTCACTTGATTGTCATGTAGCTTGTGCTGTTCTTGCTTAGCTGTGTAGTATTTATCACCAGTTAAATAATTGTTGTATATTTTTATCACTTGGTGAGCAACTAAGTATTAATTAGTCATGTGTAAGTATGTCAATGATCAAAGTTTGTTAAGTCAACTTTTCTGAATGCTGTTAATATTGTTACAATTTTTTGTTGATGTTCTCTTCTTGCATCTTATGAATTTAGCTTGATAGAGTAAATTATTGCTCGTTCTAAGTACGATAGATTTGTTTTTGGTTTAGACGTCATCTTTGTGGTATATCCATCATTTTATCTACGTTTCCACAAGGTGCCTTCACAAATGATTGGTTTGTTTCAGACTGTAACTTGATAGTTAAGATTGTAGCGCATCGGTTGGGAATGTGAAGTGTAAGCCGTAAGTCTTCTTTTTTCATTCTCATCGATAGGATTCGTATATGTACGCTTTACTTATTTCTATTTCCTTTCATTCTTTCGCGCATTTTTAAGATTGTGCTTCACAGTTTCCTTTTTATCATTGGTTTCTCCTTTGTTTCAGTTTGATTTCGATGAACCACAGTCTGTATCCGTATAATGAGAACTACATCCATAGTCACAACGAAGCCACTGAGGTCAGTTTCGGAAATTGCAATAGCAACTGCGGTCCTTGTAGTGTGTAGTAACAACTAAAAGTGATTTATAGTGGTAATATGTAGGTTAGGCGGTTCTTACAGCTTCGATACATAGCTTGTAGCATAACACAAGTTCCATGTGTTTCTAATCCACCATTTTCCTCAAAGAGATATGAATTCTTTGACTTAAACGAGGAGCAAGAAATTCTCCGGTTAACTGGGATCTGCAGTTGCACGGTTTTTCCGAATTTCGTTGTCGCCATAAATCTTGCAAAGTGTCTTTTAGTAATGTATTCTGATTTGATCAGTAAGAATTTGGTCGTGACTTCAGGCAGTGACTGCTGTCCAATTTTTACATAGTCTAACCGCTCGCGTATCTTTTTTAGTTGACTTTTAATACATTTTTTCAGTCTATCTACTCCACACTAACAGCAAGCCAACTACAGTTACATGCAAGTACGTCTGTACAGGATGCCGCGGTTGCGGTGACAATGATGAGGAACTCCCCATTAGTCGAAAGACCGATGTCTATCGATGAACATCTCCAATCGATGCCGTGTATGCCGATGACAGTGACAGGGTGGAGTGAACAGTTTCGATTGCAGGACGTGAGTCAGTAAAACAAACGAAGTACTTTGGAATTTTCACATATTGCTTTCTCATATTTTTGCGTGCTTTAAAATTGTACACCACACGTCTATTCAGCTGAAGACCTTTAATGAAGCGAATAGAAAAAAGGTTCAGTTTCGCTTCCTGCAAATGAGTTGCTATCTTTGGGTATCCCAACATCCCACGAATGCGGCATGTTACTTTTTGTTGTCCTTACGGAGAAATTTAAAACTATACCGTACAGGTCGTTGATATTATTTCTTTGAAAGCCCAATTTTTTTGTTTAGTTTTGAAAATTCGGTAAGGAAAACAACGCCAAGTTATCGTTCGGAATTGTTCTAAAAATTCGAAATTTCTTAATGAGGAAATTCTGGTGGTTTCGAGAAATCGCTTATGTTAAGCGACGCTAGAGGGTTCATGCTTTCTAGGTAGTTTTTCGCACGAATGTTTATATTTTTTTAAATTTGAATTTTTAAGTGAGGTTGGGTGCTTTTTTATTTAAATTATATGTTGTTATGAAGTGAAAATTTGCATACTTTTGTGTTATTTACTGCTATTGCTTTTAAGATTTTCTTGTTAATGGTTTTGTTTCATTTTAATTTATATCGAATGAGGGAATGCAAACAGTTCTTTTTTGCATTCACAAATTTAAACGTGGATGTGGAGTCGAATGAACGACTTACAGTGGCAAAGTTACATTTATCCATAGAACCACCAGTGATTGTAGGTTATAGAAAAAGTTTCTGGTGAAAGCGGTAATCTTGAAGATGGGGAGCCGGGAATAACCTGCTATTATTAATGTCGTCCATTTAAAGATGGGAAACTTATAGATGAACTAAGGTGTGAGTAGAAAGAGAGTTCCGACAAGTCTCCAAACTCGACATGAGAATTTGAACAACCTCAACGAGGCAATTTCATGCCGATTGAGCGGAGGAAAAGAAGGTCATCTTGACGAAATTTGTGCTAGGTTTCCTTTTTTGCTGTTCAAAATTGACTTGGTGTTGATCACACCACGGTATGCGACGTAAGGTGGGTTCTGTAGATTTCTGCCGAAGTTTGGGCAAAGTACTGAACCATTTTTTGGCTCCAGTCTTCATCAGAGGAAGATTATAGTATACCATAAAGGAAAGTGACCTTTCTGGGTCGAGTATTATCTCTAACAACTTTATGAACCTTGGTGAAATCGTTGTAGAGAGGCACCAGGAAGTCGATAGAGTACCAATAACTGTGACGTCTGTTTGATCAAAATCGGCATTAATCATTTGATGATACTAATTCTGTTAAACGATTCTTCTTACCGTACATTCCACATGAGGCATTGAGAAATCTACTGGAAGTGGGAACGAATCTCTTTTCTTCATCGTAGTGTGCTGACATTTTGTCAACCGATTGCGTCTTTTTGAAGCATCTCACCTTCAGGCTTAAAAAGCTATTAAACATCTAAATATAAGCTGAAAATTTCACTAGAGGTTAAATTCACTGTGGGCTGGAATTTGTGTATATGAAGCTGAATACTGAAATCCGATAGGACTGTAGCAACAATACTCTGGAAGAACTGCTTTAACGTGTAGTTCAGTATTAGCAATCAATTTTAAATCCATTAGACATATTTCAAGGTTTCAGTTGTGTTTCCGATGTACTCGTATTTCTCTGGAGCTTTATCAGGATGCTTTTACAGTGCCACAACTTTTTACAGTGCCAGTCGCGTCAGTTGCCACTATGCATGTTTTCTCTACATTTAACACTTACTCGTTCACACTCACGTCTTGTTATCAACGTAGATCATTAGGTTTTTCGATTTCTTAATTCATGTATTTTGCTGCTATACGAAGCCAATATCCCACTATGTCTGATGTCATTCTTGAAATAAGCTTCACAGTTAATTTTTCTGGATGGAACACATTGATGATTTGTTTGAAATGAACAACCGCCAAGTGTGTAATCAGCAAAATTGTCTTTGAAATTTCAAGGTCTTTCCTATCAGTAAACTTAGATTCAGCGTAATGATGCGATTAACGCTAATGAGATTGTTGTGCTTGTGAATGGTTATGCAAATTGTCTGACGATTGAGAACATCTGCACGTATAGCAAGTAATTCAGTATTGAGCAATAAGAGTAGCCTTAAACAGGCTGTACAGGTTTCTAGAAGAGTTCTCCCTGAGCAGGGTGTTTCGGTTGTTTTCCGATTATGGACAGTTTACCATTACGTAAGGGGAAACAAGTAAATGCGCTGTCCTCACAAAACCGTCACTGGTTTCCCACCTTCTATTCCAGTTCTGATTTGTCAGCAGATTTAAAAGCGCATCTTCGAAATAAAACAGTATAAAAGATAAAACCTTCGTCTTTGGTCAATCCCTGTGGGTTGCACAATGCACTGGATTCGGTTCGCAAAATCTTAGAAGTGGTTGAATGCATATCTATTATGGGCAGCGGTGGCCCACCGATCTATCAGCCAATGCCGCCATCCTCCCGAAAAAGTGTGGTCTCAATTTGTCTATCCAGGAGGGAAGGAAGGCTGGGTGAGGACAAGGAGTGCAGTCGAAACAAGGACTACGTGTGCACTGCAGGGCACTTCTAATCACTGTGCTACGCTACATACGTCTATAATAAAGTATATTTTGTTAAATAAAAGAATTACTTGCCTAATCTAACTTACTTACTTGATCAACCTTCGTTCAGTGGACTTCATTTAGGCGAGTGTGGTTTGAATAAACAACTTACCTACTCATCAGTGAAATTGGGCTGTTTTCAATATTCGTCCCTGTTGGAAGGACTTGTCTATGCTCTTAAATATGATTTCGCAAAGCAACATTAACTAAAACTGTTGGCGCTTCATACCTGATTCTTTCATACAACCACAGTGAACCCATCATTAATTTGTGTACGTTGTTGAAATGTTAAGGACGATAGCTATGTACATCAAATGACCAGCTAGTTGGGAAAAACGCTAGCTGTAGACATGAAGGCATGTTTGTAATGAGTTTGTTGAATCAAAGGTATGGAAGGTTTGGTCCATTTCAAAAAAGAAGCCGAATGAAGTTACGCGTAGCTCTCCCATTGTGCCATGCAACTGCATACGATTTGTGAATAGATAGATATTAGTTGAAAAACTTTTATCCAGTCTTTTTACGTCTTGGTTTAGATGATTTCATTCAGTTTCAGTGAATCTCTATTCAAACACTGCAAATGTTTGTCATTTACTTGTTGCGCCTAGGTTTTCTTCGTCACTGAGTCACTTCTGCACCGCTATGATATACATTAAGTAAAATTGCTAGAAAGTGCAGAGTCGTAACACCGAATGAAGTCTATAGCTAAAATAGTTACCTTCCGAAACCGCCTTTTATGTATTGCTGAAGAAGTTGTGTGCACTAGTAGGAAGGTTCAACAATGCTGGTTTCAGTATTCAGCCGAAATTCGTGATTGATGTTTCGAATTAAAAGTAAAATTGTTGGCCTCTGAGCTAGTTCTATCGATCACTGCCATCAGCAATCACCCGTCAACGGGATTGATCTGGGGGGTCCAAATCGGCATTGAACCCAGTTAAGCTGAGGCTCAGTTGTAATCACAATCTTAACCTTTTTTATTTACTACCTATTCTTTTTA